TGTTTGAAGGATGTGTTTTTTAATGTACTCAGCAACACAAAAGAAGTTTGTTGCGAATAAAGGTCTTCTGATTAACTTTGGTGTGATGAAAGGGGTAGGGTACTGTAATGCAAACGGGTACTAATACATCACGTTTTGTTTACTAAGGCCTGGGCTGACATTTCCCCTGACATTCTGCAATAGACAGTGAAATTGCTGCATTGCATGTAACTGAAATGTAGATTTATTATCTAGAGTAATTACACATCCATGAAAATTCATTTTATTTCAGATTTAAAATGACCCAGGTCAATCTGTTTTCAGCTCCATAACTAGTCCAAAGCTGGGCTCCATTAGATTCTTAAATGGGAATTCATATAAAAATTGAACTGCAAGGCTTATATTCCATCCACTGCCAGAATAACGGCACAGCTGTAGGATTATAATTACTAACATCTATCGTCTAAAGCTCATTAAGCGTAGACAATAGGAATTGATGTCCACTATTTGTTTTTTGTGTTTTTTAATGACATGCAGTAGACATAAAATGAGTTTGATGTAATTCTCTGTTTCTCTGATTGCATTTACAACATCAGTAGAAGAAGAGGTAAGGATTAGTATGACGAGAGAATCGAACCACCACTGGAGAAATAAATGTACAGTAAATGCTGCTTAAGATGGTGACAGTCATACCGTGGGCTGTATATAGGGGTAAGGAGATCAAGGATTTAAATGTGAAAGACCTCTCTGTGAATGTAGCTATTAGTATCATTTTGTTGCTTGTTTTTTTTATCAGTATCCAGAATTTCTCGCAACATCTGCAGCTACTAAAAAGAACATTTACTTCTCTTGTGAAGACCAATCACAGAATAAAATTGGTATGCTGCACTGTGCCCTAAAAAAAGCTTTTTTTAGGTCTGACCAGGCACGTAAAAAGAGAGAGTTAAAATACAAAACAGGGAAGTAGAACATTTGAGGGCTTTCTTATGGGTGCTAATGAAATAGTTGCATTCACTTTTGCAGCTCGATTCACTGGTGGGCTGTAATACTCCATTTAAAATAAATCAGCTGTAGTTAATAAATATATATTCACATCACAGCCTTGGCAGTATTTTAAGTGTATGAGATAAAACCACAATTTAAAAACCATATACTTTTTGAAATGTAAATGAGTTTACGACAGACATTCGTGAGGAAGGGTTAGATGCATCTACATATGGAAGTCTCGCACCTAGGACTTCCTTTTTGTCTCTCTCTCACTCCTCTCAGCCCCCCATCTACACCCTAGTAGTAAACTCCTTAGCTCATTACACCTAGCAATAGTGAAGCAATATTATCATATTGCCTCACTATTGCTAGGTGTAATGAGCTAAGGAGTTTACAGCCACACCAAATGCGTTTTATATACATTATATATTTATATATACATATATATTTCTTCCCTCTGTCCTATTAATTAGGATATAACTGAACTACTGAAATAGAGTTCAGCATTCTGGGGATTTGAGAATGGTTTCATGGTGATCTAATTTTAGTGTCTATGAGCAAAACAGGTTTTCAGCCCGAATACAACATTTGAAGTATTTCAAGTAGCATTCAATTACACACATCTTTAGATGAGGTTACTGATTTAAGGTAATCCAGAAAAAGAAAAAAAATCCATTGTAACAACAGTAAACATGCGGTCCATGTGGATCCTAATGCACCAGTATAGTGATGGGGACACTATACTGTAAAACAGCCACCGTCCTTCGGATAATACATAAAACTGAGGTCCTGACTCTCTGTGGTCATTAAAAATCCCAGGACCTTTCTCGAAAAGAGTTGGGGTGTAACCCCAGCGTCCTGGCAAAAATTCCCATTGACCTTTACCAATCATGGTCTCCTAATAATCCCCATCTGTGAATTGGCTTCGTCACTCTGTTCTCCTCCCCACAGAGAGCTGGTGTGTGGTGAGCGTTCTGGTGCACTATACTGTAGCTGCGGTTGCATCATCCAGGTGGATGCTGCACATTGGTGGTGGTGGAAGGGAGTCTTCATTACCTGTAAAGTGCTTTGAATGGAGTGTCCAGAAAATGCAAAATAAGTGTAAAGAATTATTATTATTGTTAATTGTTATTGCCCCATCTTTCTGTTACATAAATAAAAAGTACTGTATTAGTAAGAACTAATATTTTTTCATAAAATGTAGATTTAATGCATGGTTTTAGAAGTACCTGGTTTTGTATTACTGAATAATATCCTTCCTGAGAGCAAAACTGAAGAAGGGTGTTGATTTTCTTCTGTGATCCACTTGTGTGGTTGAAAAGAGAGATCTGTAATGGTGTAAAGGAGCAGGAGAGAAGCAATGTAAGTCAATAAACTGAGGAAATAGAGAAATTAAGGATAAATGAACAAAGGCCTTCTGTTAATACAGAAGAGAGAGGGATAAGAATTGAAAGAGGGGTGAATAAAAGAGAATTAATTCTGTGCACATCGAACAGAGGATACACTACATAAGAGTGAGCAAGCAGTGAATGCTGTCTGACAAGAAGATTAAACCAGGAGGCTGTTCATGCTACGCCTGCCCCTGACTGGGCTAATGTCTGGGTTAAGCCTTTTGAGTAATTTTTTGGACTGTTTTCTTTATCCTGAGAGTAAAAAGATGTTGGCATGGTGATTTAGCACTTTTGTCAGCATTGTTGCTTCATTCCAGATCATGTCCATACATAATAATTTTTGGATAATATGTAAAATCACAAATGTACAGGATTACTCCTGAACCTTTAGGTGGAAGTTAGGGTTGAAATATTCAAATGTGTTTAAATGCACACAGATGTGTCAAGCTAATACTTACAAATGATCAATGAGCTATAATCACATTAATTGTGATCTATACATCCAGGTTTCACTCTCTAAGGTCTGTTAGAGTTGATAGGTCATGCAGACAAAATAATGAAGTTACGTATCTGATGTATGTCTGATTTAACTATTCAGTTAGTTATTTGGTTATTCATTTAGACATTTGGGCAAAGGTTCAAGTGAAAGGATTCTTATTCAGTCTGACCATTATTGTGAACACTTTTTTCTTCCCTCCCTTTTCTTCCCTTCATGGCTGGCAGTCATATCACCCTGAAACTCATAACTGGCAACCCACTGAAGTTCAGCAGGTGTGAGCCTGGCCAGTACCTGGATGGGAGACCTCCTGGGAAAAACCAAAGTTGCTGCTGGAAGAGGTGTTAGTGGGGGCAGCAGGGGGTGCTCACCCTGCAGTCCATGTGGGTCCTAATGCCCCAGTATAGTGACGGGACACTATACTGTAAAAAAAGGCGCTGTCCTTCAGATGAGACATAAAACCTCCTCGAAAAGAGTAGTCTCCTAATAATCCCCATCTATGAACTGGCTTCATCACTCTGTTCTCCTCACCACTGATAGCTGATGTCTGGTGCACTATGGCTGCTCTCGCATCATCCAGTGGGGCTACACACTGGTGGTGGTGGAGCGGTCCTCATTACCTGTAAAGATCTTTGAGTGGAATGTCCAGAAAATCGCTATGTACTGTAAGTGTAAGAAATTATCTTTATTAAAATGTTAAGAATACCCTCCATAATTTTTCAAGAGGTTTAACGTCTTTGTGTCTCAAATGCTGAAGGGATAAAAAAACATAAAATTGTATCTAATGGATCTGTTCTTGGAGTAGTGCTAATTGGAAGTATTGTTTGCAGGATAATTTTCCTAGCCTTTTTGTTCCAGCTGTGAAGTGTGCTCTGCTTTCTCTCTCTCTCCAAAATAAGTGCTAGGCAGAATTACCAAATCACATTTGTAAAGGGAGAAAAAGCCTTTGTTTCATTTTTTTATGATCTATATCACATCTTGCAGGATGTGAACCTTTGAACGTTTCCAATTACTTCCTGATGATTGGGGGGGGGGTCGGAGAGGTGAGTGTTCTGCAGAGAAAGGCTTTGAAAATCAACTGTTATGTGGAGAAAGAAGATACTCATGCAGACAAACAGCAGGTGGGTATGAGAAAGTGCACAGCAAACCCTTCCTGAAGTGAAGTTAGAATTTAGGCCCTTGGACCCATTTCACTCTAGCCAGCACAGCTGTAATGGGAGTCTATGTGGAAACGTTTCTGAAGCCCATCTTGTCTACTGAGATGACAAAAGCACCAAAAAGAGCTGAAAAGACCCATATGGATGTCAATTTATGGAGATCATTTATATTCCTGTTGGTGTGGTTATAGAAATGTAGAAATATCATTCTTCTTCTGATTATGTTTGTGGTAGTTTATTCCTCTGCTTTTCCCATATTGAATTAAAAATCCATTCTATTTCAGTGGTCTGAGTCATAATGTATGCCTAGATACCCATATCCAATTTCATCTTTATTACTAATTGCGACTGTTACAAAGCATTCATTTAAAAGAAGACAGTTTCAACATATGTGTCCATATATTTCCATTTGTTCTCCATTAAGATGTAAGCTTAGTTTATAATTTCACAATCCATAATTGATGGTGTCTGTTGGCTTTTTTCAAGCCTTGCCTGTTGTCCTTGGTCTTGTCTCTCTCAATAAACAAAGGAAGAGTGGCAGATGTGAACTGTCCCAGCATTCCATGCTGATGTACAATATCTCTCCCCAGTGTGTATGTCGCTTAATAGTATAAGAGGGATCAGGGAAAGCTGTTCCGCAGTTGCAGTACCTGGAGACCTTTGCCCTCAACCCCGCTAGCTCCCAGGTCCATTCCATTGACTTATTTTTGTACACATGTTTATTTACTTCTCTATTGCTCTGCCCATTCCCCCCTGTGTTTATTTGGAGCAATCCTCTGTCCAATTGTTCAGAGCTCCTTAATCCAGCTTCAGACCCCATTGCTGTAGTGCTTGCTAATAGGATTGGTGGTATTAACCCGGAGGACAATAATGCCAGCTGTTGCAGGCCCTCTATTGGCAGAGCTGCAGAACTGGGGGTGGCCTGGGGTAGGTGGGGCAGGGGAATGTGCCTGGAAAGTGTGATGATCTCCTTAGTCCTGTACAGCCAGAGAGAGCTGCTTGGTTGAAAAGCCGTAAGTGCTTTGGAAGAGGGGATCTCGGGCTGCCTTGTTCGTGTCCATCACTTTTTTCCCTCTCTCTCTTTCTGTCTCTCTCTGTCTATATTCCACCTGGACTCTGCTATCTATATATGGGGTATTGATTTTGCCCAGGCTGGGGTGTCACAATGGCTGTTGCGTTGGATGCCGTGTGGGTGCGAGTGAAGGACGTGTGTAAAAGGAACGGGCTGCTGATTCTGTCGGTCCTCTCCGTCATCATCGGATGTCTGCTGGGGTTCTTCCTCCGTACACGGCACCTCTCTGAGCAGGTCAGTCTGCCCACCTTTTTGTCCCTTTAGAGCCGGGTTCCTTCTTCTCTCTTCCTTCCTCATATAGGCTCTGTCATATCTCAACATATTTTATGCGCTTCCTAATCACATATTCCTATTAGTTTCAATTTCCTGTCTTATTTTGCTCTTGACCTATTATGTCTGCCAACATACATGGAATATAGGATTGCATTTTGAGAATCTGTCTCAAACGTATTGAAAAATGTACTCTCATCTTAGGTATGAGAGGAGATTGTGGTATTGACACACCATTCATGTTACCCATTTAAAACAGCACAGGGTATTATTTTTTCAACACAAATGCAGCTTTTAAGAAAATGAAAAAGTACAAGATGGCTCATGAAAATGAATGACAAAAAGGGGCAGAATGCTGTAAAAGCCTTCCTCGATGAGCACCTGCTGGAATATTTTGTTACAAACTTAATTTCCAGTAAAAGCAGAGTACAAAATTGAATTCAAACTTGTCATTTTTTAATTATTTCTAAAAATAAAGAGCAGGCCATTGCTTTGAGTGGAATAGATTACCATGCAATCACACAGAAATGCCCTAAGTAATTGCACTTTAACAAGGAGCTTTTTAGCGTTGTGTGTTAACAGCAAATTGGTTTCCTATTCTATCTAGACTAAATGTTAAAGGGGAAAACTCTATAATTAAATCCTGAAAAGATCAAGTTTGTCTGTGTTCTCCAAGAATTCCAAAACTTTTTTTAATTACAATTTTACCTTTCTACACCAGCAAGTAACCGCTTCATCTTTTCCTTATGCAGTTCAAGGGTTTCTTCTATTTGACTTCTTAAAGAAACCTTAAACATGAAACAGCCATTAACTATTGGAAATGCATTTTTACAGTTTATCAAGGTGACTTTGCAGACCAGTTTATCAAATCAGTACAGCAGATTTCCACAACGGATGGACACCTTAATGCAACACATTTTCACAGCAGTATAGCTCATTATGTTAAATCTGTAAGGCCGTTGTACAATTTATTATGATGCACTTCCACAGTTACATAACCCAGTACAATAGGACATTTTCACTGGGTTCTGTTATTTTAAACCACAGGATTCTTATCTGCAGCTTCAAAAACTTAATCATAAAATCCATAGAGAGCTAAAAGAAACTGGTACTGTATATCTTGCATTTCTTCCACTTTTATAGTAGCAGAGTCACACAGTAGCTTAATTTTTTTGCATAGGCAGACCTGCACAATAGTTACCATGCGGCATCACTGCAATTTTCTCACATTACTTATACTCATCACATTTATACTGGCTGGCATGATCATTCTTGTCTCTTCTGTACTTTAAATGTAATAGAGCTTGGCAAATGGGATTTTCAGATTCTTCTGGTCCAAAAACTCCCAATGCAAGGCCTATTATTTCATTTTAAGTGGCAATTGAAGTTATATCCCAGCAGTTATAATCAAATGGAAATACTGCATTCCTTCCACTCTCATTTACTGTACATACCCCAGTACATATAATAGGTACTCAAGGGCCACAGAAGTCATGTACCTGAGGTACAATACTAATGTACAATGTTGCTCTCATCTCGTCTATGCAGTGGGTGTATAGTATTAAGGAAAGGTAGAACCTGAATGAAATGTACCATAAAGTCACTCTAAATCTCTTGTTTTCTACCTTCCTGCATCAGTCTGAACTTAAGTCTTTGTTTTCCCAACATATTCCATCACTTTTTCAACATGCTCTGATTACTTACACTGTATTCTAGACACACAGTATCTACCATTTTCCCAACAACCAAATTTGATAGGATACTCTCCTGTGTTTTTGTGCCTTTGCTTTTAGTAGACTTCTTCAAAGTACTGTAGATTTTCTTTTAGCTTAATATCAGTTCACCTCCTCATACAGTGTAGGTCTGGCTAATACATACTCTGATTATCCTTGTCACCTTCCAGATGTAAACCATTCCGCAGGCCAGGTGACAACATATTTTCTGATATAAAATTTCATTTTTTTAACCAGTCAAACTTTTTGATCTACTATATGTTGCCTGTTGTGCTGTCGCCTCATAATAACGAAAGTAAGAATGTTATGGCAGGAATGTTTCTCACTGTTCTTTTCAGTCCTGATTGAAATCGTTCCAAGCTACATGCCCAGGACACCTAATGACAATTAGACTTAATCAAGCAGGAGAACTGCCAGCATCTTCTTTACACCTTAATGTGTTAATGCATTTTGCTCTGGACTGTTGCTTCTTTGCTTCTTTGCACATGAGACTACAGGATTGAAGGACAGTTCCAGGGGTGTCCTGTTTGGAAAAGGTTGTGAGAAGAGGTTTTCTGTGGTTTTTGCAAGAGCTTTATCACTCTAAGAACTAGCTCCTGTACTAGAGGGTACAGACCTTTGAAATTTTAACTGTTTCAGCCAAACAGTACTCCCGATCAATAAAGAGGCTTATCTCAGGACCTGATATATACTGTATTATGTGTGTATGTAGAGGTTGCATATAACTCTCAGTAATTCTTTTAACCTCATTGACAAGTTTAGGACAATCTGGACCTCAGGAAAGATTCCTGCTTTTTTCTTGTCTCCTTTTATTCTGCACTTTGCTTTTTCTGCTACTTATCTTCAAATTGCTGGCTTGGTTCTGTAAACAGTGAATAAGAGCTTGTCTACCCGTAGATTTGCTACACCATCATTTTATCAAAGATGTAATTCAGCTCACTAGAAACATTGAGGTAACTTCTATCCTGCTGTGACAGAACACACATCAGGAAATATATTTTTCTACTGTATGAGATGCCCTTTTACACACATAACTGTAGTGAGGTCCAATTCTCTCGTCATGTGCCTATAGTATTTGGAATTTAAATCTAGACTCAAGAAATGTGTTAAAGTGTTACATTAAATTATTTAAATGATCCTGGTTAACAGGGTTAATAATAAAATTAGTTTTTGGAATATTGGTCAAACCACAATTCTTCAGTGACGTGAGCCAGAAGAGACAGAAAACATATATATTTAAAGGCAATAATAGTAGTATTAAAAACACCACTAACACAATCCATTTAAGCCATTTGGGACTCATCATTTTCGTTATGTCTTGAGTAATTCTGTTACAATGTCAAGATGGATTAAAGATCTTGAAATATTGCCCTGTGCAATTTGACTAGGGGATTTATTCCATGAATTAATATTTCCAAACTCAGTACTCAGCAAATCAGCAGCTGCTTCAAAATGGGTTGATTCCAGAAGACACAGGGAAACAGAATTCCACCTTTAAGGGAACCTTGTGAAATATCCTATGACAAAACTTTATTGTCCAATTTCTCTGAAATTTGTCAGCAGCTATGTTTTATACATACAGAAACTTACAAAACATAAAACAGTGTGAGTACATATTACATTACAAATAAAGATTACATTACATAACAAACATCTACCCACACATATTCATTTCACATCATCCCTACAGAAACCCACACAACTACACCACAAAAAAGTAAATTTACTCCCTTCACAATTACACTGAACCCATATAATTTGGCATGGTCCACTTTTAACCATTACTCATTTATTTTTAACTAATTTGTTTCAGTATGGGACTAAATTAGCTCATTTTGTTAAGTCTACATGAGGTACTCAAACTGACTGTTTGAGGCATTAGATACTAACAGCTAGTCTCCAAATACTGTTCATGTAAGCAGTTTGAAAGCTCTGCTCAAGTGGCTGCCCCATTATCTTTGAACACATACTCAAAAGTCTGGACATCTTAGCTTTTTCTTGCGCAGAAAGTCTGTTATATCAAATGACTTTTGGTTCCTGTTGGTAGGACAAGGTTCAATTTAGCCTGTAGGCTATCTAAAATCAGAAATAGTAAAACTAGAGTCATTTGTTGTGATAGTATTAATAGTATATTTAATATTATTAATAATTCCTTGCATTTATCTACAGCTTTTTTTTCACAAATGTACTGTACAAATAGGAGGGCACCAACTTAATCCATTATCTTATGCAACCCTACCTGGGTGATGTGTGGGAATCATTATGCACTAGCACCTACACAGCAGGTCAGGGGGAGAAAGAAGAAGTCCCTTCACCAATTGAATTAGAATGAAACTTTAACGTAAACCAGATAGTTCAAGCCCAGAATGGAACTGAGCCAACACACCGGGGTTTGCCAATTAAAAAACTTAACTTAGCACTATTTGCAATAAAATAGCAGAAGTATTTATTTGTCTTACACCAGATGGCAGAAACTCAGCATTATCTATTTTAATTTATTTAGTGTGATAAATGCTAAAAGCCATGTCATGAACACGGAAGGTTACTGTGGAGGGAATGAAAAAGAAATGTTTTTCATAATTTTGTATTCTTTTCTTTAGCTGTTCTGTCTCCAGCACTAACTATTTTAATGTATGTACATGAACAATGCTACAATCTACATCCTGAGGATTTAAAAAGTACAGTGGAGGGAAAGCAGTTCAGGGTAAATAGAACGTTTCAATTCCACGGTTAATGTTGATGGTCTTCTGGCGAGGTTGTTTCTCAGTTTTCCTTAACACACATTTCTTGGGTTTACATTAAAGAAATACTCTTAAATATTTGATATAGACTCTTTCAGATATTTTCAGTTTGCTGCAGACATACAGTATATCTCTAGAGGCCTAAGACCTTGTTCTCTGCCTAGGACAGAATTGAAATCCAGTATTAATGAATGTGTATGCAGTGCTGTCGGAAGATACTGTTTGAGACGTGGCTTAACAGCAGAAGTTAATGCTGCAAGGTCTTGTAAGTTATTATTCACATCCATTATTAAAACGTGTTTTCATCCTAAAAACAGCATCCCAAGAGATTTAAATACATACCAATGTAATATAAAACATGCAAGATTACAAAACCAGAGTCTTGGCGGTTTTTAATTTACTGTGCTTTTTCCTAAGGTATTGTTTTTGTTGTTGTTGTTGTTGTTGTTGTCGTGGTTTTGGCAGTTTTAAACTGGTGTTTAATATGGAG